AGACAGACAGACAGACAGACAGACAGACAGACAAAGAGATAGAGACAGAGACAGGCAGAGAAGCAGACATGCACAGAGAGAAATGGCTTCAGGTTTGGCCGCATCCGGTTTCCACTGAGGCCATCGAGGCCAGCAGGCCTCAGTTTCTCTCTGTCTCAGCTGACAAATCCGAACCTGCCCAACCTCTCAGTGCTTATGTAAGCCTAATCATTTTCATGCCCCAGTCCCCAGCTGAATCTCTTTGATCAGGCCTGGGTCTTGCAACCCTCCTTGACTCAGCCACAAAGATACTGAGTGGCCAGGTGGGGGTCAACTTGTGCCTGGGAGGGGCTGGAGCCACCTGTTATGACCACCATGAGTAAAGGCAGGATGGTTCCCCAAAGGAAGAGGGGGTCAGTGAGATGAACATGGCTACCGCCCCTCTCCTTTTCTCTTGGCCTAATGCAGTGCAGCCCTGGGAGCTCCTGAGCACTTCCCCCAGCCCCAGAGAAAGGTGAACAGGGGGTGGGCCCCTTGCAGGGGCTTAGGGACCCTGGGGAACCAGAGCCCCTTTGCAAACTAGATGGGGGCCCGCTGTGCCCGCCGGAGGTGCACAAGGGCCTGCTGTGTGCTGGGGGTGTGTGGGGGCAGCCGGGGGCACAGGAGAACGGGACATGGCCCTTGTCCTTTGGGAGAGTCCGGCTGGCGCGGGGAGCTGGCACAGACTGGTAAACAAGTCATTACAAATGCAATGCGGTAAGCTCGCTGATATGATTAAGCTTCCAAATGAGAGATCCTGACAAGCCGCCTGGAGGAGCGGGGACAGGAGCGCGGGCGAGCATAAACAGGAACAAAACGGGGCGGGCGCTGCGCTTCCGACGCGCGGTCCCCAAGGCCCCTTCATCCGGCCGCTGAGCGGGCGCTGGGGCTGGGGGCGAAGTGAAGCTACCTCCCCCCACCCCCCCACCCTCGGTTCACTCCTTGGAGCCTAAAGAATTTTTACCATACGCACTAAACGGCTGGAAATGGAGGCGCACAGCACTTAACTGCTATTTACTTATTTATCTAAAATGCAAAGTGTTCCCCTCAGCAATCACTAATAGAGTCCTATAGAAACGGAGCAACCCATTCAGAATTTTGCATTCTGCGCCACGCACTAATTCCTGGGTCAGCTGGGGAGGGGGCATCGCTGGGCGAGGACAGCTGAGATGTGCTTATGTGAAAGACAATTGTGTGCTGACATTAAAGGGGGAAAGGAAGGAGTGAGGAAGAGAGGGAGGGAGGGAGGGAGGGAGGGGAAAGGGAGGGAGAGACCCTAAATCTTCTCCGAAATCTGCATAAAGTTTGCTTTTGAAAGACTTTCTGAAAGCAGTTTCCATTTGGGATTTCAGCACGGCGCTGTAAATTAAATCTGAGTTTTGTTCTAGAACTTTCTTTGTGAAGTGCTGCGGCCAGTGGGCACCTAAAACCAGAAGATGGGCAGGCAGAGAAGCACTGACCGGAGGTGGAGAGCTCGGACGTGGGGCCCACGCTCAGCTGCACCTGCCCCGGGGTGGGCTTTGAAGGCAGGTGGGGCTCTTGGAGTCATTCTATGATGCTAATGACAGCATGGGACAGGATAGTAAAGCTTAGAGCAGAGATAATTTCAGGTTCCCGCCATCAGCTTTAAATGACAGAAGCATAATGAGTAGGCAATTCTCACCTCTGTCCCCAAGCGAGCGCCTCTCGGTGACTTCATGGAGAAAGTCTCATTTTGATGTTAATGCGTCTTTGGCACCTGTCTAACCCTTTCCTAATCTCCATTTTAATCAGAGCGGTTAGGTCTCAAGTCTAGTAGAATTTGAGGACAGGATTCTGGTTTTGTTGGTAACAGGGAACACTGCTCCTTCTGATGCTGGACGCCTTAGTCTTCTCAACCAAGGTTCTGTTGACCTTGAGAAGCCAAGACTGTTCCTTCCCTTTGTGTCCCTTGGGGTGCAGGGTGGTATGGAGTTCTAGTATTCTATCGGGGCATTTAAGGAATGCGACTGGGTCCTGAGATTCACCGGTTCTTGGACCCGGGATATCTGTTCTCTTTGCCTCCGATCTTGGTCTGTAAAATGGGGCTGCAGGATCCCTTTCTTCTCTGGCCCTCGAGTATCCTCACAGAACCTCTTTAGGAACCCCTGCGTCACTTTCCCTGTGAACTGCTGAGGGAGACGGTGAATGTCCAGTGTTTGAGAATTACAAGGGACCTAGGGGATGCGGCGGTCCTCGTGGTCTCCAGCGGGCGGGGCTCTGAGTTTTCACCTGGGGTCTGGAGAACACGTTCTCGGGCCGGGCCCTGGGACTGAGTTAGTGAGCAGCAAAGTTGCATTCGGCCGTGTGTGTGTGTGTGTGTGTGTGTGTGCGCGCGCGTGTGCATGTGTGCGCGTGTGCGTGTGTGTTGGTATTTGGGACATTAAGAACCCTTGGGTCGCGGCGGTCCGGACAGCCCCCGCGCGGTCCCTGCGGGGCGGGACTGACCCCAGGCGTTAGGGAGGCAGCGGAACCTGAGGACCCCTAGTCCCGCCTCGCTCCCTAGCAACGGGGTCCGCGCCACAGGCGCTCCCCCTACCCCCGCCCGCCTTCACCCCGAACCCTGGAGGCTGGCAAAGTGCGCGGAGGGTCCGCTGCGACAAGCACGCTTCCTGCCCCTGCGGGCTGTTTCCTCCCGGGCTTTTCCTCCTCCGGTGGTCAGCACGGCCCGCGGGGTCAGCGGGTGGGTGCGGGGCCCGTTCACGCGCTTGAGTCGACCCGCGCTCGGGCAGTAGAAAAAGAAACGCGAGTTCGGTTCCAAGATACTTCCTCTGCTAGAACTCTTAAATTTTTTTTTTCGGGGGGGGGGGCTTGTTTCTCTCTTTAACTTTCAGAGGCATTAAAAAGGGGGTATTTGTGCCACCCTCCGCACAGACATTAACGATCATTTTCTGTCATATTCAGCTTTGTGTTCTTGCTAGGAGGCACCTGGCGTGCGGAGAATGGACGAAAGCCATTTTTCTAAGTACTAGCGTTTGAAATTATTAAGTGTTCATTAAGCACCCCCGGGTGCAAAGCACTCTCGGAGATGTTTGTTTCTCAATTTTCCATAATTTTCTTATTTTTCTCCCCTAGCTCAAAGCAGATTGAAAAATGAAGTCGGCGCATTTGAGTTTCTGAATCATAGTTAATGCGCGACGCCCCCTCCCACAACTGCGCTGTTTTCTTTTGCTTCCTCCCGGCTCCTTTATATTTATTTTCAACCTGATAAAGTTCTTTTTTTTTTTTTCACCCCTCCTCGGGGACTGTAACTTTGGTTTTACTTCCGCCTGCCTGCGGGGAGACCGCAGCCCCCGGCCCTGGCCGCCCTCGCCCCCTCCCGGGCCGGGGGCGATCGCGAAGGCGCGGGGCCGCGGCGCAGCTGCTGCGCTGGGCGGCCGGCCGCGACCTCCCGGAACCGGCTGACGCATGCGAGGGCCGGGCGGGGACAGGCTCGCGGCGGACTGTTCTGGAAAAACACCGAGCCCGAAGCCCCCTCCTCTCCCCTCCGCCCTCACGGCTTCGTGACTCCGGGTCTTACAGGAGCGGAGAGAGGAAAAAAAAAAAAGGCTGTTTTTCTCTTTTCCTTTCTTTCTATTTTTTTGACAACAACCTCACATAACCTCAAAAAAGTTAGCCATGAATTTACCAAAACTTTTTATGAAACTATTTTAACCTCTGGTGGGGGTTAAAAAACAAGCTCTGTGAATTTATTATCCGGAAAAAAAGCGAGGATGACTGTGTATTTTGCTGGGAAATCGTCTTCCAAGCTTCAAGGGCGCCCCCTAGCGCCGCCTTCGCGCAGCGAGCGCCCTGGGCAGCGCCGCCGCGGAGCCATGCTCGGCCCGGTCCCCGGCTTCGGCTGGGTCTCGCAGGCCTGCCCGCTCCCCTGGTTCGGATCCCTGGCCGTCCCTTGTCCCCTAGTTCGGGTCCCTGGTCCTGCCCGGTCCCCTGGTTCGTTCCCCTGGACCTGGCTCCGTGCGGGTTTGGACGCGGAGCCCTGCCCGGTGCTGTTTGGACTCTGCTGAACCCCTCGCCCACTGATCCCGCTCCCTTTACGCCCCCGGCCTCCCTTTGGGGCGCGCCCCGACTTTGCAGAGCGTACGGGAACACTTGGAAGTGAATGTTCTCGAGTGAGCTGAAGGCGCGGCGGGCGGCGCGGAGGAGGTGCCACCAGTGGGCCTGGGCCTCGGGCTGCGCACCGTGCCTCAGTTTACCCGTCTGTGAAAAGGGGGCCATAGTAACGAGCTTGGCCGTGTGTGTCATTTGAAACCGTGGTTAGCCTCGTGTACGTTTCAGCCGTGACGCGGAAAGAATAAAGCCCGATGCTTGTTTATCTCTGCAGAGAAGCCAGAAACCCGGGACGCTGCCTTACGTAAAACCGCCTGCTTCCACCTGGCCGCAGCTCACACGCGCACAGACGCGTGTACACGCGACAGCCCCCGCCCGCACACGTCTCGGCTCCCCAGGCTCGCAGGAGCCACAGGAAGACGGGGGAGGGAGCGGGACCTCGGCCACCTCGCCTGTCACCTACACCCCCGCTTCCGGCCGCTAGCGCTGAGTGCTGAGACCAGTGTGGCCTCGGCTCTCTTGGGCTCAATGAGTTTTAGGAAACACGTCCTTCTTTTTGTTCTCCCCTGGAAAAATATGAGGGACCTCCACTTCCTGTGTGCACACCAGGGAGTCTTCCCAAGCCGCTCGGGAATGCGAGGCGGGGTGGGCAGGGTGGCTGGGCGTGTCCTCCTTCCTGGGCCCTAGATTGCGCCCCTCCTACAGGTGTGTGTTGTGCTCCTAGAGCTTCTCATTGCGGGTTAGGTACCCCGCAACCCTAACCCGTCACGGGACAGGCTGCCTCTGCTGTGTCCCGAGGCCCTGGGACACAGGGCTTACTGCGCCCCCACCCCAGGAGAGAGTTGTCTAGGCTCTCTTGGTCACTGCAGATGGCATGAATGTCCCCATACCCCAATGGCATAGCTTGGTGTGGCTCCCATCTACTGGCATGCCCTCTCACGTTGGTAGCTCTGACACGCTTTCCCATAGTAGTGTCATCCTGGCTGGGTGGACTTCACCCACCCAGTCAGGCGTCCTTGCGCTCCACGGCTGATTTCTGGGCATCCACTCTGGGAGGCGCATTGTTTCTTGAAGGGCAAACAGCCTCTGTGTCCTGTTGAGACTTTAGAGCTCCTCCAAGTTTACAGAGAAAGCAGCAGAGATTCCCCCTACAGTGATTCCGAAAAGCTTTACAGCTGAGGACCAGTGCGAACTGGAGACATACATCCCCATTTATCCTTGTTCAAATGGATTAAATATATTATTGATTTTTTTTTTTACAAAATCCACGCATTAATGTTTCAAAAGAACTTGGCTTGTATGTTTAAATACAAAAGTAATTATTTTTCTTTTAAAATTGTGTCCTGGGTCTGGAGAGTTTTTAATTTTTGTGGGTTCCTTCTCCCTGCTTCACTCTGTAGGGCAGAATACTGCATGCTATTAAGTAGCAGCGGAAAAACACTTCATTTTCAGTTGTTAATTTCTGTCTGTTGTGTTCTATTGTGTTTAATTTTAATTAACTGGATTCATTTAAGTAACATTTCATTATAGATTTAATGCATAATTTTTTTAAATAAAAAAGGGAAATATTTTTAGTTGATTTTAAGTAGCCCCGCAGTAAAGCTCAGAGAACATGCTCGACCTGGCTTGCTCTGGAAGTTCCCTTGAAGGGCCAGAGGTGGCTTTCCATTCTGTTTGCTTGTGTGTTTCCTCGTTGCCTGTCTCTCCTGATTTTCCACAGCCAGTTTAGCAAAGCTGTGTTGGTCATGACAGCTGGAGTCTCCGGATGCGTCTGAGGACACGGAGTATTTCTTCTTTGCTTCCCATTTTGCCACTCAATAAATTTGAGGAGTCACCGAGCAGTCATCTGTGTAGCTAGATAAGGAAGGAAATGATGATTTCTCTATTAGTTTGCAGAGAAGAATGGGCGACTAGATTAATCAATGTCAGCTGGAAATGCCTCTTTGTAGGACAGACTGGCTTCTTTCATCAAAGTCATGATTGGCTTCTCAGATGCAGACACATTAGGTGGCTGTCCAGGGGATAGGAGCGGACAAGGCCTTGAATTGTAAGTCTGTTGTTAGGTGACATTAGGTAGATGTGTAATCCCACCCTTCATAAGGTCAGGGGGTGCAAGGGGCTGGGAACCACCTAAGGCATCTACCTGGCTGGTTCTCTGGGCCATGAAAAAACTCAATGTTGTCTGAGTTCAGAAAGATGTTTTGGTATTGGCCATAGTTCTCGGTAGCAAGAGGACAAAGGCAAATCTAGAAGGGCTGAAGCACAGGACATGATTGGCTCATGAAGAAGCCCAAGGGAGCTCTGGCAGGGTCTTAAGCACAGTGTCCTTCCTAGTCAGTCTTAGTTGGTTCTCTTCTAGAACGTTCCACCCTTAAACATGTGGGGTTGCAGTGGCCCCAGGTACATTCTACCCTTAAGTGATTGTAGGAGAGTGATTTCTAATGAAAGCCCCAGCACCAACACTAGTTTAGTGAGGTTTAGGTTATATGACAATCATAGCTTTGGGTCCCTGGCTTGGCCAGGAGGGTAGGATATGTCCACTTTGAGAGATGGGAGGCCACATCTCTGGGAGGAGGACCGATGTGGATGGATGGCTGCTGAACACAGAGAACAACTGATGTTTATCTTCGCCTGTTCTCGCCTCTTGAAAGAGCCGCAGCCAGTGAGAGTGCGCAATCGATGGCTGGTGCCTCTGAGTCCGACAGGTGTCAGTGGTGGCTGGCCAGATCCGCCTCTGGACCAGACACCCACCTGTTTCCATCCAATGTGTCTGCTGCTTGCAGTTTTTGCCTCCAAATGATTGCCTTTGGCTGACGGGAACACATCGCACGCTGGTATCTACCTAGACACACACATGGGGGCCCGGAGAGATTGTAGCCTTTGAGTGACTGATGGGGTTATATTTGCTTTGGCATGGGGGGAAATTTTGGGGTGCAGTTCACATTTCAGTGCCCCTGTGTGACATAGCTGAGACTCCTTTCCTGGAAGCCAGATCCTTGTCTAACTACTCTTCTGCTTCTAATATTTAACTTGCTAGTCTAGCTGTCTGTGTCCCTTTAAATCACCTGTTACATAAACTTTTTGTTCAGGGACATGATGTGTTCTCACATTTCACGAAGCAGTTCTGGCTGAACTTGGAGCATGCATCTTTGATAATGCCTTTGTCATCAGTACAGCCACTGGGTTGAGTCATCTAATAGGGCTTTCAGAGCACAGCATTTCACTTTCATCCAAGCTCTTTGAGATTTAGTACTTTTAGAATCTGAGTACAATGGCATCATAGAAATCCATCCACAGCCATAAGTGCCCATTCATATGACATTAGGACAGTGGCTTTCATTTCTCCAATAGGTACCTATTCACAATTTGCACAAAATAAACATGTTCTATTTTGTTTTTTAAAGCAGTCTTTAAGGGATTTGTTTATAACATCCAATGCTTATAATTGTATCCCAAATGCCCGGGGATAATGACTAAATTTGTGTTAAAGGTCCCTCCCCCATCACCTTTTTCAAAGCCAATTTTGTCGGATGATGTTTATGAGTGACTCAAACCAGCACTGATTGGCATCATTTCAGTCTAATGTGCTTTTCTAAATAGTATCAAGATGAAGTGCAGAGAGGCCTCGATGTACAATGGGGTTATGTTCTGATAAAGCCAACACTGAATTGAAGACATCTAAGGTCCAAGATGCATTTAGTACTCCCAACCTATGGAACATTCTATCTCGGCCACACGGCCCATGGTGGAGCATCGGCTGTGTCCCTTGGGGTGGGGCGGGTGGAGGTCTGGCTGAGAACTTCCTTCATGATAAGAGTATGGTGCCCCATAGAAAAAAAATCCCACTTCCAAGTGGAAAGCACTGTCGCTACTGAGTGAACACCCCTGTGGCACCATCGTAGGATCAAACCATCGTTAAGTCCCACCATCATAAGTTGAGAATCATCTTATAATTGAGAGAGAAACTTTGTCCTGATTGGCTGATTGGACTATAATAAGGCAGTTCTTTTTTTTTTTTTGTTTTGGCGGAACCAGGGATTGCACTCAGGCCCTTGCACTTGTCAGGGAAGCACTTATTCCACCAAGTCATCACTAAGGCAGTTCGCTTTTCTGAGAGGTAACTTTCAGGGAAGCGAACATCTCTTCACCGAGATGACTCAGGATAAAGTGCACTGTGAGGGACCAGGGAGGGGAGAGGGAGGGACCGGAGGTGCTTGCTAGGCCGAGGTGGTGTACCCTGGAAGGAGCGTGAACCTTGGCTGAACGTGGAGGAGGAACATGTTTTAGGTTTTAGTATAAACAGTGGTGGGAAAAGACCAAATATTTACATAATAATCCAATCTTACAGGGATAGTTGGGAGCAAACACCTATATTTTCCCATGTGTTGTTTAAAATACTCATCTTAACCTAGTTTATTATGAACATCCTTACTCTCAAGTTTCAGTTATGTTAACTGCTCAGCTGTTATAATTGGTTTCTATTGTCTTATGTTATCTAATAAGAATGTTAATAGGAACAATCTTAGCTGACAGAATAGGGTGTTTACTACATACTGGTCACTATAATGAGCCCCTTGGTCATCTCTTTTAAACTTTTTGACAGAAACACAAGTTCTACAAAAATATATATATTTTTTAAAGATGGTGACTTCTTTTTTTTTTTTTAGCAGAACCAGGGATTAAACTCAGGGCCTTGCACTTGCCAGGCAAGTGCTTATCCTACTGAGCTATCTCCCCAGCCCCTAAAGATGGAAGACAGGCATCGAAATTAGGTGACTTATCGCAGGGGCTGTGTGACAAGCAAAAGCCATAAATGCAGGCAGTTTGACAGCAGACACTGGTCCCTAAATGCTGCGCTTCTGGTCTCAAAGCACATTGTTGGAGCTGAAAGCACCAATGTGCAATACGTTCACCACTGTGATTTGTAAAAAAAAAAAAAAAAAATCTAGAAAGCTTATAATTACAAAAATGTATTAATCATCATAAATATATATGTACATATATCTTATAACAAAGGTAACCATATATATTATATACATGGTGTTACTAGCCTGCTCAACTGTGATGGACAGTGGCTAATGCTGTGTAACAAAACACCACAAAACTCGGTGGTTCATAATAAAAAATATTATTATTATTATTATTGCTCATTGATTTTTGGATCAGGTGGTGTTTCACTGGGTTTGAGTCATGCTTGGCTGACCTTACTAGGTTTGCCCATGTACTAATGGATCCAGCTGCAGGATTGGTGGGGGGCTGGGTCGTGCAGGGTGGACTCTCAAGCACGGTGTTGATTGGGCATCAGGAGGGCCCCGAGGGATGGAGGAAGCAGATGTCTCTTAATCACCTATGAAAGGTGGAAAGGGAGAGAAAGGGAGCGGGAGGGTGCAGAGAGGAGGGGGGAATCAGAGGAGGAACAGGTGGGATTCTGGGGGCCTAGGCTTGAAGCTGGTGGCATCTTCTCTTGTGTTCTACGGAGCAAGG